CTTGCCCTGGCTCACACCTTTCCTGCTTTGGGTCAGGCACTGCTTGGAGCCCACAGGGGCTCCTGGAGGTGAGCCGGGGGCTGGGCTGGGCCGGGGCCGACCACCCAGCCTTCTGTGAAGCTCCCAGGCGGCTTGGTTGGCTCTGAGGAAGGATACGGGGCTGGGGGCCAATCCGGGCCTCTCTCTGCTTCCAATCCAAGGAGGACCAGAGGGAAAGGCTGAGGGGTGACTGCAGGGGAACGACCAGAGGTTCTGGCAGTGGTGACTGTTCTGTGCCTCAATTTCCCCACCGGCAAAGTCACTCTCTGGCTGTGGATGCCTGAGCTGACTTGTGGCCACGCAACTGGGGGCTCCGCTGGGTTCTGAGCCCTGGATGTCAAGCCAGACAGGAGCTTGGGGGGGCAGCAAAGCTCTGCCCCCTCCCACTTCCAGTCCCCTGAAGTGAGGACTAATCTGGCTTCAGGCTTTGAGGTGGTGACGCTGGGCTGAGGCTCCCCATCAGAACCCAGTCAGAAGACCCCCCCCCACACCTGCCCCTCTGTGAGGAGGACCCTGTGGGCACAGCTGTCTGGTGCCCCAAGGCATGTGGGGCTCAGACCCCCTTCCAGAGCAGCCCTTTTGGGGTGTTCATGTGGGCTGGTGCTGCTCTAGGGGTCTTTGCCGGGACAAGGGAGAGGTCTTCACTCAGAAGTGAAACCCGGAAGCATTGCAGGGAAAGCAGGATGGGTTTCATGGTCTCCCAGCAGTCAGCACCCCACCCCCGACAGCAAACCCCACCCTGACTTGTGTGTCCCCCTGGGAACACATGCCCTGACTTTGGCCCCTCCCCTCACTTCACAGGGATCCCACTGTGCCCCCAACCCGGCCACATGGCCTCCTAGCAGGGGGGTGGGGGTGGGGGTGTACCAGGCTCCATCCAGCACAGGGCCAAGGACGGATGTCATTGGTTTTGTTGGCTGATGTGACCCCAGGCCCGAGACAATGCCTGGCACACTAGGCTCTCAGTAAATACTGTAAGTGGGCTCCAAGTCTGGACTTGAGCTTTGGTTTATGGACGGTTTCTTTCCCCGAGGCCTCCCAGCCCAGCCATCATCTAGTGGGGGCATCATGAATGCTGGTACCCGGGAAGCAGGGCTGGGCCACAGATTTATGGAGCCCAGCTGTGGTCCTCGACTGCTTGTCGACCCAAGGGTGTAATAGCCGGGACATGTCCCAGCCCTCAAGAAGATACATGGTCTGTATGTGAGACGGTGCATGTGATGATGACCTGGGATCGAGAAGCTGCTAAATGCTGTGGCAAACCTAGAGGTGGGTAAAGGGTGCGTAGGGAGCTGCTGGCTGGGTGGGATGTCATCTCTGTGAGTAGGGGAAGAGTGTTCCAGGCAGAGAACACAGCCAGTGCAAAGGCCCTGGAGGCAGCACTGGCCTGGTGTGTTGAAGGAACAGCAAGCAGAGGGAGTGAGGAGTAGAGAGGGGGGGATGGGTGAGGAGGGAAGAGAAAGGCAGGTCATGAGAGCCTGTGGGCCTCCGGAAGGACTTGGACTTTTACTCTGAGGGAGATGGGAGCCCTGGATGGCTGTGGATGTAGGGCAGGATCCACCCCAGATGCTCACGGGCGCCCTCTGGTGGCTGTGTCAGGGAAGACAGATTGCAGGGTGGGAGCGAGCGTTGCCTGGAGGAGACTGTGCTGTGGCAGGAGGTGGATGATGGGCGCTGGCCCTGCTTGGGGGCCATGGAGGGAAGGAGAAGTGGGCAGAGCCAGGACAGGGTCTAAAGTCAGGCAGACTCACAGATGGGTTAGAGGACAAAAGGATGAGCCCTTAAGGCCCCACGCGCCCTTCTCCATAGATTGGTGTGTCCTGCCCCGGCCCACGTGCAAGGTAATTTTTCTTTAATTTTATTTTCTAAGTAGGCTCCATGCCCAGTGTGGAGACCAACGTGGGGCCTGAACTCATAAGACCTGAGCCAAGACCAAGAGGCGGGTGCTTAACCGACTGAGCCCCCCAGGCACCCCTCCCACGTAACTTTTTTTTTTTTTTTAAAGATTTTATTTATTTATTTATTTGAGAGAGGGGCAGTGAGAGAGAGCGTGAGCGAGGAGAAGGTCAGAGGGAGAAACGGACTCCCCATGGAGCTGGGAGCCCGATGCGGGACTCGATCCCGGGACTCCGGGATCATGACCTGAGCCGAAGGCAGTCGTCCAACCAACTGAGCCACCCAGGCGTCCCTCCCACGTAACTTCTTAAAGGAACCTGTGGGGGTGTCACTTTTGAGATCACTTGCCTCTCCCACTGGATTGGTTATATTCCAATCGTGACTGCCTGGGAAGTCTTTCAGAGATAGGCTGTTGCCCATGACAGCTAATATCCTCCAAAGAACGAATGCTGCGCACCTGCCTCGAGCCAGGCCCTACGAAGCCGCCTGGCTGGGCCTCAGTGTCCTCGTCTGTGAAACAGGACCGGGGGGAGCAGCGCCCTCCTAGGGCTGTGGCAAGGATTAGATGAGCTAACAGTAACAACGGAGCCTTCTGCCAGTGGGGACGGGCTCCCCGGCTCTTCTCCTTGGTGGGATTTAGCTCGGTTTACAGAGAGCCCGAGACCTGCAGCAGAGCCTGGAGGGCTGGTCAGTCCTTGTAGACTTGTCTCCACTGGGCAGCGTGTCTCCAGGGATGGGGGCCTTGGGGAGCGTGAACAGCAGGCCCTTTCTCGCTCCCAGGCTCTGCTCTGTCCCCCACATCAGGCCTTTGATCTGTCTTCTGCCCAGGACCTCTTTCCCCCTCATGCACATCTAGCAAGACCTCAACTTCAGATCTTCAGACTCTCCCTTCCCTACTTCGTCCTCCTCCAGGAAGCCCTCCTGCTCTCCCCCAGTCCCCTGCCCTGGAAGGCCCTTTCTGAGTTCCTCCCTTTGTTCCAGACCAGACTGCTTGGGGCTGGAAATAGCTTCATCAAGCTCAGGATGGGGGCAGGGGGACCACTGTACTCTGGAAAGGTCCTTTACTACCCCAAGCAGGGCTGCTGGGGCAGGACGTGGGGTCCCAAACAATGTGTGCATCGGGGAACTGGATTACTATAAACCAGAGCCCCCCCCCCACCCCCGCCCCGGGTCTGTGTGTGGGGCAGGATGATGTCAGTTCCTCATAGCCTCATAAATGTTTATGGGGAAGGGGGTCTGGGCTCAGGGGTCCCTGGAGCCCAGCAGGCAGCCACTCCTTTCTGCTCCATTCTGGGGGGCCTGGCAGGCCTGCTCCAACACTGGCGGCCAGCCCAGAGAGGGCTGAGTAGGTGTCAAGCACAGCCCTGGTCCGAGCCAGCTAAAAGGGAAACTGAGGCTAGGAGGCAGGAAGGGGCTGGCTGGCTGTGAATTTTTGCTTTTCCTCTGGGGCTTGGGCTTCACAAAGAGCAGGGGGCTGAGGATGGTGGTGGCCGTCAGTTAAGCGCCTGACTCTTGGTTTCGACTTGTGATCTCAGGGTCGTAAGATCAAGCCCTGTGTCGGGCTTTGTGGTTAGCGTGGTCTGCTTGAGATTCTTTTTCTCTGCCTCCCCCATTCATGCTCATTCTCTTTCTAAAATAAAGGAGCCTGGGGGCTGAGGAAGGGTGTATGGGGAGGGGAGGCCTGGGCGGATCCGGCTGAGAAGTGACCGACTGCTGAGCCTTAACAGGGTCCCCCTCTTCCGGCCCTTGGTGACCACAGGCCCTACCCTCGGCACCAGGTCTGTGGAAATGACTCACTTAAGCCCCCATTCAGCCTGCTGTGGCGGGCAGGAGGCGTGAGGAGTGGGAGGGAGTGGACGCTGGCCTGGAGAGGGGCAGGGATACAGCCCAACTCCTCCACCACCCAGGGCTGGGGCCACGCATCGCTGGGCTCTGCCCCTGCCGGCTGCTGCAGGGACACGCCTGCCTGGTGTGGGAGCCTAAGAACCCGTCCCCGCTCAGAATGCATAAACAGGTGCTTCCCTCGTCCTTGAAGATTGCTGAGGGAGGGACCCTGTTGTCCACACCTGCCACCGAGAGTAAAGGCAGTATAGAACCATGAGCTGGGACTCCGGTGCAGGTCTGGGACCCCAGAGTGCTCTCGGGGCTTGCCATGTGTACCTCCCCTCCCAGCCTTTCTCAGGCTGGTGCCCACCCTATCGGGAGACCCGGAGTGGCCATGGGGCAGTGAGTGGTGCTGGCCGCAGCCAGCAGGGCCAGGGGTCCGCATGTACCGGATCCGAGCTGCCCGACATCTGGCTGAGTGATGACCCGGGGCCGGGGGGGAGAGGAAAAAGGGGGTAGGATGGGGTGAGAAAGGGGCATCAGGGCCCGGCTCCTGCCGCCTCCAGTGCCCAGACCCTGCCAGGACCCCATCCCTGCACACGCACAACCCCGCTCCCCAGGGTAACGCCTGGAGAGCCCTAATTTATGGCCCGCCGCGACACGCTGCAGCAAGCCTTCCTCTCCGGCTGCCAGAGCGCCCGGCCAGAGCCAGTTCTGCAGAACGCCGGGGGCAGGGCCGCGCCAGCATTCCAAGGCTGCCTAAATCACTGGGCCTGACAGGAGGCGGCTGGCGAGGATCAGGATGCTTCTCTGGTCCCCGCCATGGGCCCCTGCTTTGCAGGCTCCTGGTGGCCTGTCAGCCACCTGTCTGTCACATAGGGACAAGGCTCCTGGGCCCGCCTGTCTGGGGTGCTCTGCTCCAGTGCCCAAGAATTTGGAGTCAGGCCCTGCGTGGGCCCTGGGTGTGTCTTCCACACGCTGTTGGCTTTGGGGGGGTGCCCAGAGATGGGATGGCCTGGGCCCTGCAGGGGGGCTGCAGGGAGAGCTTTGGGGGCAGGGGGTGGCTGCACAGCTCCTGTCTTCAGGGCCCAGCTGGCGCCATTGGCTCTGCCCGAATAAACCCAGAGGCCTTCTGTCCCGGTCCCCTGCCGGGCTGCGGCTGCCATGTCACGGTCAGCTAGCCCGCCGGGGATGGGGCTTCACCCCAGAGAGCCGGAGAGGAGGGGAGGGAGACGCACACGAACAAGTATACACAGAATTTATTCCTCTTTGCTTCGGAACCTGCCCGCAGACCCAGGAGGCGGCGGGACTACACCTTGGGCGCTGTGACGAGCTTCCAGCCCTCCAGCTGGCCCATCTTGAACAGTGCGGCCGTAATGCCCATGTATGCGCAGGCGGCGGCTCCAACCCCGTAGCTGTGGGCTGTCAGTCGGGAAAGCGGTGTCAGGCATGCGTGGGGCTCCCCCACAGCCACCCAGGAGCCCCAGGGCACGCCCTTCCCTCGAGATGTAGGGGACGGGGCTGTGGGCTCCTCGAGGACTAAGTCCGGTGACCCTAGGCTGAAGATGTGTGTGGAAACCCGGCAACCAAGGCAGGAGGGAAGCGGGAACCTAGGCTGTCGGTCTGGGTGTGGGGAAGGGGGCACCTGCGCTCGGTCGAGTCTGAGCTGGTGCCCTGGCTGCAGGTGCCGGGCCCTGTATTTGCTCTGTGGACCGTGAAAGCGAGAGCACAGGGGGCCCCTGCTTGCCCGAGGGCTGTCGCTGGGCAGGGAGGCCAGCCTGCTGAGGGCAGGGCTCACCCCCTTGGCAGGTTGGGGGTGTGTGTCAAACCCTAGAATGTGCAGACCTCCCTCCACCGTGCCCTCCTGCCTGACTGGAACCTTCCACCAAGCGCTGGCCGGCTGGTGGGCCACAGCAGTTGCTAGGCCTGAGGCTGTGGGAGGTGGAGAGAGCGGTGTCTGCTCTGGGTTTCCAGTGGCTTCCGTGTGCAAGGCTGGTGTTGGGTTCCCGGCCTGCCTCCCACTAGGGAGGAATGCTCTGTTGGTTCCCATGTGACCTCAGACCACCCAAGCCCCCTGAGCTAGTCCGCGCCTTTCTAGGTGGGCACGGGGAGTGTAGCTCCCCCGCAGGGCTGTGTTTGGTCAGGCAGGGCTCTGGGTGCTGCGAGAGGGACAGCAACACAAGGACCATGCACGGTCTCCACGCTCGTGGGGCAGGGGCAGAGCCAGGCAGTGGCCTAGTGTTCTCTGACAAGGGGCAGCAAGGGAAGGCGACATGGAATGAGGGCAATGGGGGTCCCAGATCACACACAGTGGGGTTTGGACAGTGACAGAGGGAGCTCTGCTGACATCTGGGGGAACAGCACTCCAGGAAGTGGGCATATCACATGCAAAGGCCCAGGGGCAGGACTGGGCCTGGCTTGGAGAACAGCAGGCAGCTTGGGTGGCTCGTACAGAGCGAGCAAGGGGGAGAGGGCAGGAGGGGAGCGCAGAGGGGACGGGGCAGGTCATGCTGACCCTTGGGGGTCAGGCTGAACGCCACCGGGAGCCACAGGGAGCTGTATGGGCTTGGTGAGGTAGATATGCAGCAGGTGCTTAAGCAAGGTAGCTCTTAGTGTTACTGAACTGGCTGGTGCCAGAGGTTCAAAGTCACGGGAAGGTTTTACAGGGACTGCCCCCTCCTCTGCAGGGCGAGTGTCCCACACACCTAGGCTCCGCCTGGTCCCTGGTCTGGGACAGAATGGGGGGTTGTGGTCAGTGGAGGTCGGGGTGGGGGGCTCACTCACTGCGTGCTCCCAGGGTCAGGCCTCCGGCACAGCCTCCAATGAAGTAGTTCAGGGGGTCATCGGGCTTCTCTCGGACCTGGGCGCTGAGGCAGGAGGTAAGGCCAAATATGGCTCCGATGGCGGCTGTTGGGGTGCAGGTGGGGGGGGGTGAGCGCTGAGTCAGGGCCCAGGGGCCAGTGCCACGAGGGCCCCTAAGGAGCAGCCAAGGCTCGCTCACCTGCAGTAAATGTGTACCTCCCTGTCCTCGCCACCCCCTCCAGGAAGGAATCCGGGGGCTGGAGTACGACACTGTAGGCAGAGACGATCAGGCCTGTGGAACCAGAAAGGGGGTGGTGTGTCGGACCAGGGCCTGGGTGCTGAGACCAGGAGTGCCCCTGGCTCGCGGCAGGCCCCTCCACTATCAGAGAAACCCTTTTTCCCTCTATCCCCATGGCCCGGAAGGAAGCTCCTCGCACCATCCCTTCACCCAGGAAGGGGCTGTTCTGAGGTTTACCCAGGGTCCCACACTGGGCAGCCACGGTGGGATTCCAACCCCGTCTACTGGTCCAAGCCCTGGGCTCTCACCCCCACCTCCGGGCCCCAGGTGTCCCTCCTCAAGGCCTGACCTAGGCCAGGGCCCTTCGCCCTCCACAGTGCACCGGTCCAGCCTGCAGCAGACAGGAGAATAGGCCCGGGGGCCAAGTGGAGGGGCTGCTCTCCAGCCTCAAGTGGCAGCACAGACACCATGGCTGCGCCCCACTGGGCTTGGCGTCCGGGTCCTGCTCCCCACTCCCAGCCAAGGCTGCATTCTCCCATGGGGCCCAGGGCTCCCTGGCGGAGACTTGGCTCCCGGGGCTGCCAAGGCCTGCTGCTCATCACCCTTGGGCCCCCTCCCTGCTGGCAGCTCGGGCCTGGGGCCATCTCTCACACCTGGCTGTTCGGCAGCCGCTCCCGCCCACCCAGCCTCGACGCTCTGGTCAGCTTTTCCATCTCTGCTCGCCCTCGCCTCCCTGCCCGACACTGGCTCTTACGCATGAGGGGCCTGGCAGGGGCTGGGCCTGGAGCTGAATGCCAGGTGGGTGGTGAGGCCCGAGGCTCTGTCCTGAGGCACCCTGAGCAAACACTGGTCCGGGCTGGTGTGTGGGTCTGGGGTGAGGCCAAGGCAAGGCCCTGGGCAGAAATTCCTCAGTGCGGGGCAGACCAGGGCCCACCTGGCTGGTTCCAAATCAACAGAAACAGCCCAACACAGAGCTCCCCATGGCCCAGCTGACCCTGCTCAGGCAGACAGCACAGCCCTCCTCTCCCTGCAGACCTGCGGCCTGGCCCAGTCACCACAGGGACCTCCCAGGGCCAGCCTGTCCCAACCTGTCTGCCAGCTCACATTCCATGCTGCACACAGACCTTGCCCCCACCATCCTAATCCCCGTGGAAGTCCTAGAACTGGGAGTGGATGACCCGGGAGCCCCCGATTATCCCAGGACAAAGACCGCCCCACCCCGACTGTCTCCTAGCAATCATCCAATACAGTGACCTACCACAGGTGTGGTCTCTGCTGCCTCAGACCTTTCCATGGCCCGCCATCACCCTTCCCAACCCCACCTGCTCCGGGCTCTCTATCAGCCTCCAGCGGTGACCTCCGGACACAGTGCAACACGTTCGGCCCCCCCCCCCCCCCCCCCCCCCCCCCCCCTCCCCCGGGGGCCCCCCCCCTCACCCCTCCAATTGTTCCCTCGGGGTCACCGCCCCCCCCCCCCCCCAGGGTGCTGAGCTCTGTGAGGCGGGTACAAGCTCCCTTTCCTCCAGGAAAGCGAGCAGGAAACAAGAGCGTTCTCTCACTGAAGCCTGAGGGGAGGCAGGGAGGTAAGGAAGGATCCAGGAGCCAAGTCCTGTAGGCTGAGTGGAGCTGGCCAGTGAGAGAGAATGCAGGTGGGCTCAGTGAGCGAAACACACCCACACAGCGACACCCTCAAAGGCTCACGGGAGCCGGTGACCACCACAAATCCGAGCTGCCTGGCACGGACCTCTGCCAAAAGTCCCCACCCACACTCCCTCAAAGACCTTCCAGCAAGCCCCCCGGGACTCCTCTCAGCAGCACCCCACTCCTGGAACGTGCTCTGTCTCCCCCAACGGCCTCCTGGGACTTCAGTCCACCCCCATGGCCTGCGCATTTGTGATCACACGTGCACACTCCTACTCACAAACACCAACATTAGCGTCTTTCTCAGGTTCAAAATCCCTGAAACCACCCACTTCCCCAAATCTCCCCGAAGGCCCCCCATGCCCCTCAGGCCACTCCCCCCCACTTTAATTCCCCTTTAGACACAACCATGAGCCTCCACAAAGTACTGCCAGGCATTCCCCAATGTCAGCATCTTCCTAGAAGAATGTGCCAGAATAATGTCCCCTGCACCGGTCCAATCCAGCACCGCGCAATCCTCTCCAAAGGCCCCCAGAGACCCTGCCACACACCTCTAGTGTCCCGACAATCACCACTCAAGCAGATGCCATGTAAGCCATCCCCAGGGACTCCCCATCCACCCTCTCTCCCGAGGCCCCTCCACAGGGACCCTGCACGCACAGTCCTTGCTCCAGCCACCCCCAGGAGCAGATCAGCAGATGTGGATTTGCACACCGGCTCGAAAAGGCCCTGGGGTAGTTAACACACCTCCCTGACCTTCAGTTTCCACCTCCGAAAAATGGGCACGATAATCGTTGATCTTAGAAAAGGAGAGCAATGATTACCCTTAATCCCAATGCCTCCCAGGGGAGACTCAACTTCAGAAGCTGGAGATAGGGAGGTGGCCAAAACTGTCATTCCTACTTCTCAGAGAGACTGGAAGGGGCGAGACGCTGAGGTATCCCCTGCAGGAGAGTGCCAGGGCTGAGTCCCCTTCTGTCCTCCCAAGGCTACCCTTAGAGTAGCCCCGGACCCATCTCACCTGTGACCTCCTCGGCACCGCTGCGATCCTTCTGGTGGTCTCAGTAAAGGCTTCAGATCACCCTAACCATCCCACTCTCCTGAACCCTAAAAAGACTTGATCTCAACGTTCTCAAACGTCTGTACCCGCCCCCAGACACACCAATAATTACCCATGATTCTCCCAAATAACCTCCACTTCCATAACTCTCCTGAATCCCCAGCTCCTTTGACCTCAAGAATGGCCTTCTGCCTCTCAACGACTTCTCCAGAGCCTGGGGGTTCAAGAATAACCCCCAAATCCCAGCCCCCCCCGCAACCGCTTCGGACGATCCCAGTGGCCAGCCTGTCACACGTACCACTTCCCGGTGTCCTCCAACCCTGCCGGACCTCCTTCACACAAGAGTTCCTCAGGGCCGCCTCAGACACCCCCACGACGACCACGTGTCACCCCGTGAGATACCCTGCGCTCCTGCCACCCCCTCCGACAGCTCCCAGTGATCCCGTGGCCTTCCTGCGCCCTCTGAATTAGTCCAACACCCCCACAGAGTCTATCTCGTACAAGAGGTCCCCAGCAACCCAGGGCCGCCCTAGAGACCCCGGCGACAACCTTACACCACCTGCGAGACCCCCAGCGCCCCGGTTACCGCCCCCAGCGATTCTACGACCTCCCTTCATCCTCTGCCCTCGGGGCCCGGCCGGCGCTCACCAGCGGCACCACTGATTGTGGTGCTGGCGTAGGTCTTGCGGTGGCACTCGGTGCCATCGGGGATGTCCAGGTATCGCTGAAGAAGCGTCCGCGCCATAACTGCGAACCCCCGACCCCTCACCACACAAGCCCGCCGGCTCCCCGCGCCCAAGGGCAGCCGCCGCTCCTTCTCGCGAGACTTCCTGGGCGGCGCGCGCAACCTCTCGGGCGCAGGGGTCGACAACAAGCGTGCAACTTTATTGAACGCCGCGGACACAGACACGGCGGAGCGCACGCGCGGAGTCAGGGCTGGAGTCAAGGAAGCACGCGTGCATCCTCAGCCGACTTCATCAAGGAGAAACTGAGGTCAGCCAGATTCAGTGAAGGCACAGCTCGGTAGTTCCAACTCAGAAGGTCCTAGGTTAGGAAAGGTCGACTCCCGGAGGTGGGGCCTAATCCAGGGGCGGGCTATGACCGGTACTAGGCCTATCTCCAAGCGCAGATTCGGGTGCGGGGCGGGGCTCCACTTGATAGGAGCAAGATGTAGCCCTGGGGCGGGGCACAGCTCAAATGTGGCCACTCCCAGAGCCAGAATCTGCGTGGGGGCGTGGTCACACCCTGCCGGTCCCCAAGCCGGGCTCTGAACCGCGTGCGACTATTTTGGGGCGTGGCCAGGTTCGGGGGCGGGCAAAGGTACCGATCTCAGGGCTAGGGTTTTAGCGGGACACCAGTTGTGCCCACCTTGTGGCTGGCTTGTCCAAGCCCTGGGCCAGAGGATCTCCGCGTTAGACTTGAGGGCAAGGCCAGAACCGGAGACACGCCCCGAAAGGGATTTGGCCAATCCAGAGCTGTATATTTGCTTAAGGGGCGTGGCCGTGGCCGTTGGGGTGGATCTGAGAGAGGAGAAGCCTGGGGCGTGGTCAGGCTTCTAGGCCCGTAGGACCCAGACCAATGCTGGTGTTGGCTTCTCAGTGGGGCGGGGCCTTTCTCGAAGGAGGGACCAGTCCCGTTGCAGGAGCCTGAACGGAGCGCGCCGCCGAGGACACCGGGCCCCCCCCGGGGGCGTGGTCTGTCAGGACCTTGGCCAATCTTGGAGTTAGGCGGGGCTCAGGGGCGGAGTCTCGAGGTGCCGGGACCAGTGAGGGTGTTTGGGTTTGAGGAGGGCGCGACCCATCGTGTCGCGGCCAATCGCGCCGAGGTCCTGAGCGGGCCCCTGGGGGGCGTGGCCCACCGGGGGCGTGGCCCAGGGGCGTGGTCCAGGCCGGTTCCGGGCCGCCCGGGAGCGCGCCGGGGTCATGTCGGCGCCGCCGGCGCTGCAGATCCGCGAGGCGAACGCACACCTGGCGGCTGTGCACCGGCGCGTCGCGGAGTTGGAGGCGCGGCTGGACGCGGCGGAGCGCACAGTGCGCGCCCAGGCCGAGCGCCTGGCCCGCCACGACCAGCAGCTGCGCGCTGCCCTGGACGAGCTGGGCCGTGCCAAGGACTGGTGAGGCCCGGGGCGGGCCAGGTGGACTTCTCTGAGGTGGGCGGAGGCGGATCCGAGACTGGAAGGGGAGGAGAGGCGCGGGAACCGTGTGCAGTCCCGTGCGGGCTGGACTACTGGTGGGATCGGAAAAAACACCAAAATCCATGAATTAGTCACTGGCACGTAAAGTTAAGAGGTATCACACAAGTGCAGATTTCTAACTTAGAGCCCACTTTTCCACAATGCAAAATCGGCTTTTTCCGAGTGGCGCAGGGGTCACCGACCTCCTAGGCACTGGGATCTATGGCAGGTTCTGGAGCAGAGGGGGATGGGATCATACTAGCCGTTTTTGAAGAACCCCTCTGGTTTTGAAGAGGCGCTGAGGATTGAAAGGGATGAGACAAGTGCTCGGGGAGGAGGGAGGTCAGGGGCCCGATGGGAACGGAGCTGGTTGGATTAATTCATGCATCTTTACTGAGTACCTACTGTGTCAGGCACTGTGCTGGGCGTTAGAGCACACAAGTGAGACCTACGTAGCACAGCCCTTAGGCAGACACATCACTAGGTAATTACAACATTGGGTGGTTGGGGTTGTGATGGAAAGGCACATAGGGTTCTGAGCGGGCCTAGATGGAAGGCTTCCTGTAAGAGGAGCCATCTAGGGGAGCCTGGGTGGCTCAGAGGGTTAAGCCTTTGCCTTCCGCTAGGGTCATGATCCCCAGGGTCCTGGGATTGAGCCCGCTGTCACGCTCTCTGCTTGGCGGGAGCCTGCCTCTCTGCCTACTTGTGATCTCTGTCAAATAAATAAATAAAAAATCTTTAAAAAAAAAAAAAGAGGAGCCATCTAAGCTGAACAACAGCTAGGAAAAGATATAGGGAAAAAGGGAATTGCAGGGGAGCAATTGGAGGTTTTAGTCTGTTTTGGCTGCTGTTACAGAATGCCACAGGCTGGGGGGCTTAAACGACTGAAGATTTCTGCTCACGTGGGAAGTGCCGCAGACAGATTGTTCCTGGCTTGCAGATTGTCATCTTCTTGCTGTGTGCTCGAAGGGCCAGAGAGCAAACTCTCTGGTGTACCTTCTTACAAGGGCGCTAATTCTATGAGGGTCCCACTCTCATGAGCTCATCCCAAAGGCTCCATCTCCAGATACATCACATGGCGGGGCATGGCTAGGGATTCAACATAAGAATGTTGAGGGAACACATTCAATCCGTAACAAGGGGGTCTTGAAGCAGTGGTGAGGAGCGTGGTCTTTATCCTGATGGGGAGCCCCGGGAAGTCAGGGGCAGAGAGGAGGAGAATCTCTGGTCCCCTCAGTACCGTAACTGCCCTGTCTTGCCTTCTGCCAGTGAGATTACGGCTCTCCAGGAGCAGCTGCTGACCTCCGAAGCCACTGTCCACAGCCTGCAGGCTGCTGTACGCCAGAGGGATGAGCTCATTGGGCAGCTGCAGCCCCGGGCGGAGCTGCTGCAGGACATCTGCCGTCGCCGGCCACCCCTGGCCGGGCTGCTGGCCGTCCTGGCGGAGGCTGAACGCCTGGGGCCCCTGCCAACCAGACACCCCAGCCACCCACTCCCTGGTGGGCTCAGTCCACGCCTTGCCAACAGCACTGGGGAAGAGGAGGACAGGGACCGCCTGCAGCCTGCAGTGTTTGGGACCACGGTGTGAGCCCCGGAGCGCAGATTACACAATGGAGACAGAGTTCCACTGCTGTGGGTGTCCTTAGGGGTCACCAGTGTCCCAGAGGGGGCCCCGTGACAGAGCCATAATCCTTTGCAAGCATCAAAACCTGCTAAAAAGTCATAGATTTCAAACAGGCAGCCCAAGGCCCAAAGGCATATTTAGCCCAAATTTTTCTTTCTTTTTTTAAGATTTTATTTTTAAGTAATCTGTAGCTACACCCAATGTAGGGTTTGAACTTACAACCCTGAGATAAAGAGTTTTTTTTAAACAAAACTTTACATCAATCAACTTGCTGAAAAAATTGGCAACGTTTCACAAAAATCTGGATTTCTGGCTTCAGTCTTGGCCATGCCTGCTTGGATCTGAGCTCAGGGTACCCTCTTTAGCCAAAGTGTGAGGCCCACTTGGCTGCCTCATCTCTCTTAGGGCTGCATGTCTGGCCCCTGAAGCATCTGAGTTTGAGATCCCTCGCTTGTGCAGGCAGATGGCATCAAGTTTTTCTCCCCCTTTCCCCCATGCCCCGATTTTTGTTCCTTCTGAAGCATCCCTCACCCCGGGCTAAAGCTTTCTTATTCTTCATCCCAGACAAGAACTGGGAACCTCAAGGCTTGTGCCGGTTTGCACTGGTTATCTGAAGATGAACTTTTAAACCTAGATTCTTTCCCCTAAGCCTGCCTGCCTGTCAACCTTTAACCCGGAAGAGAGCTGGGGGTGTGAGACATGCTGACATGCTGGCGGCCGGGTTGGGGTGCTGCCCCAGGGAGAGCTCAGGCATCCCTTTCTGCTGGCTGTTCCCTCTGCTTGGGACGCTCGTCCCCCATTCCTTGTCACTCAGATCTTTGCGTATGGTGATCTCCGGGGGTGGGGGATGGGGGGTGGAGGGGGCCTTCCCTGCCTACCCCTGCTGTTACCCATTGTTTTCTTCAGGGCCTGTCTTGTCACCAGAGTGTAAGCCGCCTGAGGGCAGCACTCTTGTTCTTTATTATCACCAGCGCCAGGGGCACCCTGGGACCTCGGACCCCAGTAGGAACAGGATGGGGTTTGTGGGCCCTGAAGGGAGCCAGGGGCCCCCAGCACATCTGATGCGGCCCCAGCCAGTTCGGCTTTTCTAGCAAACAGCTAGCTCCTTTTGATATTCCCTGGAGAATCTATTTTTAAACTCCTTATTTCTATGCTGCTCTTCTCGGCCAGGGACGTTCAGGGTGCCTTCCCCCCATCCCCCAACCAAACCAGGGAACCCCGTGCCTTTCTCTGCGCAGCCAGGTCCCACGTCTTCTTGCCTCCTTACTCAGGGAACCGTCACACCAGGAACCACTGAGGGGCAGGGCCCGTTGTGGCCTGGAAAGGTCGGTGTCCGTCCCCAGCCCTCAGGATGGTGCTGCCGGCCTGCCTGGTGTCTAACAGTGACCCCTCAGTGCAGTAACAATGGCCCCATTTTCTCTGGGTCAATAAGGGGGGCTGCTTGTACGAGGGGAAGGCGGGCTGAGGCCTGCCTGAGTTTAAGAATAAATTGGATGATTTCCTTGCCTTGGTCCTACCTCCTTTCTTCCTGTGTGGGGGCTGGAGAGGTGGCCCCGGGTGGGGTCCTGCTGGGCTGGGGGACACAAGTTACAGTCACGGGCACTCGTGTCTAATCTTTGCAGCCCAGACTTCCCCATTGTACAGCTACGGAAAGTGAGGCTCAGGGTGGTGAAGTCAGTTGGCCCCGGGGTGGGGAGGGCCTGGGCCACTTCAAGTTTCCGGAGTGGTTACTGTTGACATTCTGATTCTCTTCAAATGAGGAGATGCGAAAGCAGAGTTACAATAACTGTGGTGATATTTTACATTTTTCTATGGGGAAAAAAAGTGTGATTTTTATAACCCTCATAAAAAACACAATGGAGTATTTCTCTGCCCACTCGAAGAGTTATGGACTGCAGCAAGCCACCAGAACGTCACTGCAGTTTCGCATAATGCTGACAGTGTCACATCAGCTGTGGCCTGACCCACAGTGCCGGGCTGCGTGCGACCCGTGGACTGGTTTCTGACAGCAGCAGCAACTTCTGACACCACCATTGTGCCATGTCCAAGTCCAGGCTTTGAAAAGCCTCTGATGACCTCTGGGTCTCTGCGGCAGATGGGTCCCCAAACGGGGCACATGTTTTATTTACTTCCCGGAAATCCAGTGTCATTTTCAATCTTGCCAGTCGGTGGAACGCTCAGTCGGCGTCTCAAGTCGGAGGCCTTCTGTGACGGTGGCCTCGGTGCTTCTTGGATGCCGTGGGGGGCCGGGGCCACTTTTTCATCTGGGACCGCAATGCCCCGGCTCCCCCATCTTGTTAGGAGCAAGACCACCAAGTGATGTTTGAGAACTGAAAAAACCGACCACCAAAAGACCCACGTCGACAGAAACCCCACACTGGCTCTGGAATAAGTACCGAGAACTGCTTTGTCTGACTGAACGCTAGTACAATCTGTAAGACGGCTGTGTCCTGGCTCGGCCACACCGGTCTGAGCACCAGGACAGGGGCCTGGGCCGCCTCAAGGCTTCTGGACTTGGATCTCTCGGCCGCTTTGGCTGCTGCCCCTGTGAAAAGGGGCAGGGGACCAGTAGAGCCCAGAGAGGGGAGGGGAGCTGCTCCAGGTCACACAGGAATTGGGTCTTGAGCCTCCTCGGCATGGCCTTGCCTCTGTCTGGGACACTGTGGTCACTGTAGGGCTGTGGCCCGTCCCTCCTTGTTGTGGCCAGGAAGGGGGACCACCCCCACTGCTTCTCTAGGTCTGGCTCTGTCCAGACCTGGGCACTGCAAGGCTGCAAGTGACCAGGGCAGAGTGTGGGTGGTGGTGCCAGCGAGAGCACTGCCCTGTCCCTCTTGGTCCTGCCACTCTGCGGCCCCCCAAACCCCGCCCCGCCCCGGGCCGTGTCTAGAGCTCTGAGGCACTGGCGCAGTGAGGGTTACAGCTGGGGCCCCTCCCAGTCTCCTGAGCCACCATCCCTTAGCAACAGGCCCGCCAGGCAGGACGCGATGCCAACGCTGGTAGAACGGGCAGGAGCCAGAGGAGTGGCTGTCTGGACTCCAGGACCATTGCAGGCCAGGTGAGCGGGCAGGTGGACAAGGCAGGCTCGTGGCACCGGAGCCTGGTCGGCCGAGTGGGAGTCCTCCCTCGAACTCTCCCCCGGCCAGTTGCCCAGCGCCCGACCCGCCATGGACGCTGTGGACGCCACTGTGGAGAAGCTCCGGGCACAGTGCCTGTCCCGAGGGGCCTTGGGCATCCAGGGCCTGGCCAGGTGAGCCGTCCCCTTAAACCTTCTTAACCCCTAGCCCCAGGGACCACTTTTTAACTGTGCCCATATCCCTCAGGTTTTTCCGCCGCCTGGACCGGGACAGGAGCCGGACCCTGGACTCGGGGGAACTCCAGCGGGGCCTGGCTGAGCTGGGGCTGGCGCTGGACGCGGCCGAAGCAGAGGGCGTGTGCAGGCGCTGGGACCGTGATGGCAGCGGGACGCTCAACCTGGACGAGTTCCTGAGGGCACTGCGGGTGAAGCCCTTCGCCTGCTGTCGGGGGGCGGGGGCGCTTCGGTGGGCTCGCGGACGTCCGTGCTGACCTTGGGTGCCCGGGAGCCCCAGACTGGGGTGCACTTGGCCCCCCCAATCACTCCCTGCTCCTTTCCAGCCCCCCATGTCCCCAGCTCGGGAGGCGGTCGTTGCAGCTGCCTTTGCCAAGCTGGACCGCAGCGGGGATGGTGTGGTGACCGTGGACGACCTCCGGGGGGTGTACAGTGGCCGCGCCCACCCCAAGGTGCGAAGTGGGGAGTGGACCGAGGAGGAGGTGCTCCGCCGCTTCCTGGACAACTTCGACTCCTCCGAGAAGGACGGGCAGGTGGGTGCCCACAGACAGCCCCCACCCTCCGCCCAGGTCTCTGGTCCCTGCTTAGAGCCTGTCTGTCTCCAGGTCACACTGGCCGAATTCCAGGACTACTACAGCGGCGTGAGCACCTCCGTGGACACAGATGAGGAGTTTGTGGCCATGGTGACCAGTGCCTGGCAGCTGTGAGCCGTGCACACATGCTCAGCCACACCCCCGCCCCCACCCCAGAGCATAGGCCCCCACCCTGGCCCCCTGAGCCAGGGCCTCGGGCTCAGCCCAAGGTGGAGGCCCCAGGACTGGCTGGATCAGGTCTTAGGACCCCAGGGAGCAAGGCCCTCTCTGTCCAGGCTATGCAGACCTTGGGCCTCACAGAGCCGCTGCAGCTGCCCCCCCACCCCCAACCCCTGGAGCCAGCCGGCCCCTGGGCAGGGAAGCAAACAGCCTTTTTGTGAAGCAAAGCTCAGCCTGGAGCCGGCCAGTCTTGGAAAGCAGCCAAGTTTAGTCACCTGCCCGGAGTTGGGGTGTGGGGTGTGGGGCAGGGGCTTGGGGCCTGCAGACAGGCCAGGCGGCTCTGAGAGGTGGATGCTGTTCCTTCTTCCTGAGGCCCCTGGGGCATGCGGGAGGCCAGGGTTTTAGTTAAAAGTTTTAATGTAGTTCCCAAATACATTTCATATGACAATCTTACATAAATGTTCCAAAACACATGGGCATTATCTGGTTTTACTTGTCACTAGTTGGCTAAGGCTTAAAGCAGAGAAGTGTGACTGGGTCTGTTGGGAGGGCCTTTGGTGTCTTCCCGGGGCCCAGGCTGCACACGAGCAAGCCGAGGTGTGGGCAGCACAGCTGTGGAGACAAAGCCTTCTGCTCACCAGACGGTGGGGCTGGGCACTGTCCTCGGAACATCCTCGGAGCCCTGTGCACGGGGCCCTTCTTCACATGCCGCCCCAGGTGGGTGAGGGCCGGCTGGCTCTTGGCCACGCTCCTGTGTGTGCAGCGAGTGTGGGAGACGGCTGGTTGTCTGGAACCAGCCCCCTGTCCCCCCCGCCCCACCCCAAAGGCCCTGCTAAGTTCCCTCCTCTGCCTCTCACAGAGGCCCCTGGTCCTGGATGGTTTCGGGGGCAGTGACATCGTCCAGGGCTGGGCAAGGAATGGCCAGCAGCAAGAAGGTCTGTGCCTGGGCGCCAGGTGATGGGAGACCGACATGACGGGGAAAGGCAGGGGGGTGGGTAGGGACCCTCCCAGGTCCAGTGACCCTGTTTTTAGATAAGCTCTCTGCACGTCTGAGGCCCATCCCCTCAATACCCCATGACCGGCCCTGGAGCAAGCCTGGGTGGGGAACAAGTCGGGTCCTGACCCCACCCCAGCACAGAGGCCAGGAGCCCAGGCGGGAGGAGGCCGTGGCCCAGGACGGAGCTGTGCCCACTCAATGCACAGGAGAGTCAACCTCAGAAACCAAACACAAAGCCTTGGGGGAAAAAGATCTAAAAATACAAGCCCCGGATCAGAGTGTGGGAAACTGGATACGGTAGTTAACAGAGCATCCAGCAGGCCCAGTGTTTATACTCGTGTGGACAGACCCGGTGGCCTGGGCGGGCGGCGGCGGCAGAGAGGCCGGGACACGAGTGGGGGAGGTGAAGAAACAAGGCGTCCCAGTCCCAGTGAGAAGCCGTGACAAGTCTTAATGTGCCATTTCAATTCAAAGGAGGGGGAGGGAAGAAATGTTCTTTTTCGTTTTGCTCATCAATATGATGAGGTCTCGTGTCCCAAACCACATTCAGGCAGTTCCCGGGTCTGCTTCTGAACGGGACATGCGGATCCGAACTGTGGCCAACCCAGCGGGGAGTGTGGTTCCCGAGCCCCGCGCCTCCACACTGCCGGCGGGCTGGGGCAGGCGGATGGGCAGACAGACGGACAAAGCAGCAGGCTCTCGGGCGGCCGGCTCCCGGCGCTATGTGCTTCCGGCCGTCTGCCCCTCCCCTTCCTCGCCGGCACCTGTGGGAAGCAGCGGCCTCAGCGTCAGGTCCCGGCCCTGGCTGGAGCCCCGTCCCCTGGGGTCAGGCTCCCCAGTCCCCGCCAGGGCCGGGACCGCTGGCTCACCGCCTCCAGTGGCCCCCGAAGGAGCCAGGACGTCCTCGTCACTGTCGTCCTCGTTGGACGGGGCTGCCCCGGGTTCAGGGGCAGGCATCTTGGCTTCCTGCTCTTGCTCCACGCGGCTGCGCAGGGCGAGGATGCGGTGGTGCAAGGCTGCATACAGCTGGCCCGTGTCCTTGGAACTGGCCTGGGACAGGCGGAGGGAAGTGGCGGGCTGTAAGATCTCTTGGTCAGGGTGGCTGCTGCCCCCCAGTGATGGGATCCCATAGTCCCCGGCGGAGTCTGGGGAGGAGCCTAACCCTCTCTCCTCAAGCTCAGGGACAGTGGACCAAAGCTCCAGGTGCCCCCCCGGGCCAGTCCTTCCCAGGGACTCAGAGCTCGCAGCTGGGATGGCCCGTGGTGATGCAGGCCCACTCCTGTCTCTCTTCCACGGACCCCTCTGGAAACTGGCCGGCCTAGAGGCCTCCCCCTTCACAACCTGGCCCACGCCACTGGTGCAGAGCACCCCCCGAGGGGCAGTGCTTACTGCAGTCCTGTGGGGGCCGGGCCGGGTACTTCCTCTCCCCAGGAGGTCGGTAGTAGCCTGTCCCGTCCCCAGGGCTACTCACGGAGATCAGGAAAACCTTCACGCCCTGGTCCTCAGTGTCCATGGCTGTGATGCGAATGCTTTTCTCGCTGGCCTTGTCGATCTGCATCTGGGCCCAGAGCTTGGTGTTGAGGATCAGCCGCAAGCTGCCCTGGGTCCGCATCACTGCGACGGACAAGGCCACTCAGCCCTGGGCCCCGACCCCCACCCCACAGCCAGCTAGGAGAACAGACACATTCTGGAAAGGAAAACACCACGAGGGCGAAACCCCGCAGTTCTCTCAAGGTCCACATAAGCTGCCCACCAGTCTGCTGAGCCCCACACGCTGGGGGCCAGCCCCGTACCACCCAGCTCCCTCACGGCCACGACCGCCACGGGGAGGGTTCTGCTGGTCCACCAAGCAGGTGCCAGGATGGCGGCTCCTTTGGGGAAGGGGGATGATTAGGTGGGAGGCAGGGCCAGAGAGGGACATTTGGGGGCTTTGACACTGTCATGTGACACGCTGCCTAGAAGGCAGATGCCCCCTGACTGCCCCACTCACAGGCGGAGCCCCAGCCCCTACTCTGCAATTTTTTTAGAAAAAACGTTGAGGCCAATGGCTGCTTAGAGCTTCCCACAAGAGCGAGATAGAGACAGACAGAGTGGAGAAAAAGAGGGTGCAGACCTTCTTGAGACCTTCTTCCTTCTCTGGAAGTATGCGTCACATCTACCCAAGGCCGCCGTCAGCCTGCCTGGTTTATCAGAGCCCATCCTCCCCGCAAGTGCCCTGACCCCATGGACACGGCGGCGACACCTTGGCTTCCCGCCAGCCAACTTCTCCCCACCTCAACCCGGGGCCCCAGATGCAGCAGCGTGGCCAGCTCAGGGAGGCTGCGGGTGGGCTCCTGGGCTCCCACTGACCACCCCGTGTCCACTCCCTGAGGCCCCTGCGCCCTGTGGGCCCACCCCTGAGGCACGCGTGGAGCAGCTGGGATGGGCTGGGGAAGGTGTGTGGCAAGGACCACAGGCTGTATGGGGCTGTTGGATTTCTTATTTTCCCTTTCCATCATAAAACCGCCAGCACTTTAATTATTAGAAAACATGTTCAAGAGTTGCTAAGTAGGTTGTTTCATTTACCGTCACACTCATAAAGAGGACAGTCACAGAAGAGCTAGCAGCGAGGGCCTCGGGATGGGGCCCGGGCCTGCAGGCCACGGGTGCTGGGGCTCTCTGGTGGGGACCCACGTGGGGATCCTGCCCTCCTGGGCCTCAGGAAGAGGTCTGTGCCATCCCGGGCCTCTGCACAGACACCGCGCTGCACTCACCTAGTCGGGACTGGAGCGTCCCGTCATCGGCCGATGCCATGTCATTGAGCCTGAGCAGCCCCCGGCCCCTCTCCACCCACGACTGCGAGGTCTTGTCAAAGACGAACAGCTTACACTGGATCTGGAACACAAGGCAGTCCTCCGAGTGAGCGGGGCCCTGGCTGGGGGGACGCCAGCGTGGACCCACTCCGGGGAGCCTCCGACCCAGCCTGTGTGAACTGCTGGGCAGGGGCCAGCCAACTCTGGCCCAGGGGGCACGTCTGGCCCTTGGCCAGTTTTGCATCCTCTCCTCCAGCCAAGATGAATTTTACATTGTCCAAGGAGCACGAAAGCATCACTAGGGAACCGAAGATAAAAAGCAGATACCAACGAGATAGCAGCTCGCACTCACGAGGACGGCATCGAGAGCCGGGTGAGAGCCGGCACCGGGGACGGGGTGGAGCACTGAGCAGCTCACACGCCACTGGCGGGAATGACACGTGGCGTGGCTGCTGCTGCGGAAACACGTCCCTCACCACGTTACATGTGGAGTCGCCGTGCAGCCCAGAGACCCCCGTCCTAGAGCTCTACCCAAGGGAAGTGACGCGTGTCTGCGCACACGAGCCTGCACGCAGTGTCCACGGAAGCACGATTCACACTGGCTAAAAAGCCAGAAACCTCAATGTCCCTCTATGCACGTCCCTCGGTGATGCCCTGGGGACAGTCCCCGAGCCCACGATGCTCAGGGCAGGGACAAGACACAGAAGTCTGTGTGAGGCGGGGGCTCGTGGGGGCCGGGGAGGGCATTTGAGAGGTGATTGCTGATGGGGGGTTTCTTTTGGGGGACGAAAATGTTCTACTGTGATAGTGGTGGCAGCTCCCTAACTACGTGAACACGCTAAACCATCACGGGACCGTACACTGCAAAGTCAATTCCACAGTATGCATCTTCCGGCTCAGTCAGCAGCCAAAGAACACGCGACGTGGACCCCAGCTGGCCTTTCACCGAAGTGTGCGGGTCTTCACCGAGCTGCGTCTTTGCTCGCAGAGATTTCACAACAGTGCTGAGTGGGCAGGAGCAGTACTTCTTGAAATGCTGCATCAGAAACTCTCCGATGCTCTACACACGCGGGTCACGGACACACACGCACGCGCACAACAGCGCAAAGGAGATAAGGCACACTGAACCGGGAAGCAGAGGAAAGGCGGGACGAGTGTGGGGTGCACCCGGGATCCCAGTTCC